TGCCTCAGTTTCAGTCTAAAAGAAACTGTGTGTGTGTGTGTGTGTGTCTGTCTGTCTCCCTCCCTCTCAGCATTTAGATTTGTGGTGGTGGTCTACTGGGCCAGGTCAGTGACATGCATATTACCAAAAAACCACATCTGTCTGTTATTAAGGGTGATTGCATCAAAATGGTACAGGGAGATAGACAAGTTCATGTTGACTTTTTTTTTTCCTTTCCTTTTGTGTTTGGGTGGGGAGGGGGGCGGTCTATCATGGACCTGTGGTGACTTTGTTCTTCACATACATTTCTTACTCTAAGGGAAGAAGCAACACTCCCACAAAACAGAAGCAATCTCCCACTTTTCACCCTTCAAAAATAGATGTGAGGCCTCTTCAAAAAGAGGCCAAAAGTTATACCAAATGATTTCCTCTGTTTTTGCTAATATCACATTCACCTAATCTCATACTTTGTACACAATGAAATTTTGCATCTATCCTCACACTTGACTTCAAACTCTCCTTCACTGTGCTTAAGACATTTTCACAAGAGACCAAAGAGAAATATAAATATGTGAAATGGAAGATTTGGTTGATATAGGTAATGTGTAACTTAACACTGCTTCTACCTTCTTGTCTCCTCTGTACTTGTTAAACCTAACTTACTGTTTCTCTTCTCTCTTATTTCTTTTGTAGGATATCACAACATACAAGAAAGGGGGGAAGAAAACTACTTCTCTTGCTTTGATAATTTAATGATACTTTTCCTCTTTTGTTAGCCACAGTCATATTGGTTTTGATGAAAGATTATCTGTTGGTTTTAAAATACCAGATTTTAGGGGCGCCTGGGTGGCGCAGTCGGTTAAGTGTCCGACTTCAGCCAGGTCACGATCTCGCGGTCCGGGAGTTCGAGCCCCGCGTCAGGCTCTGGGCTGATGGCTCGGAGCCTGGAGCCTGTTTCCGATTCTGTGTCTCCCTCTCTCTCTGCCCCTCCCCCGTTCATGCTGTGTCTCTCTCTGTCCCAAAAATAAATAAACGTTGAAAAAAAAATTTTTTAAATACCAGATTTTAGTATTTAGTGTTTTTGACTAATGCAGAAAAAAATGTGAGCATGATTATTTAACGTCCGTGGCAATATAAAATCACTAGAAGATGCTCTTGAAAGGAATGTGATCATAACAGACTTACCTTGATAGAGAAGTTTAATATGAGGTGGCACTAAAATGAGTTTTCACTTCCTATACATCAAAGTCTTCCAAATCCATGTCTCTGATCACTTACTACCTTTTCCCACATGTTATTAGTTCTTACCTAGTGCTGCTTTCCTTTGCACCTGATGGAAACTGTGACCTATCAGAGGCAAATTCCCCTTAAGGCAAAGCCTTTTTCTCATCCCTGCCTACTCTTCATTCCCTTGCTAGAGTGAAACATGGTTATCTTTAGGATCTACCGTAGCATTTTTTTTTCCCTCCAGAATCTAGCCTAGCCTCTTAATAGTGAGCATGTGTTCAATACACAATTAGTGAAGATTTTAGCTTTTTTATTATTAAAAAAAAATTCTGACTTCTGTTTTATACTATTAATCTGATACTTTTTCTGCTTTTCAACAAAAACTTCATACCAGGTTCTGTGAATTACTTCCACCATTGCTTGCCACCTGAATTCTTCTCTACCCTAGACTACAATTTTAGTTTCTGTATTCTATTTTTTTAATGTTTATTTATTTTTGAGAGAGAGAGAGAGAGAGAGAGAGAGAGAGAGAGAAGGAGGGGGAGAGAGAGAGAGAGAGAGAGAGAGAGAGAGAGAGAATCCCAAGCAGGCTCTTCTATGCTGTCAGCACAGAGACTGACATGGGGCTCCAACTCACGAACTGTGAGATCATGACTGAACCAAAATCAAGAGTCAGACATTTAACCAACTGAGCCCCCCAGGTGCCCCATGTATTCTATTTTTCATTTTAAGTCTCACTGGTCATCTTCCTCAACTACACATATATCCATGTTGATTACTCACTAGGTAGATTACTTTATAGTTTCTTCACTTGAATTTTTCATTCCTTATTTTCACCCTGGTTTATGCCTCAACATGCAAGGCCACACTGTGGACTCTGTCAGTATGGAACCCTGTTCTACCCTAAGACCATGTCCATTTTCTCCATTTAGCATAACCTCTGATTATACGGCCTGATCCAGTCCATCTACTGTACTATGTAGTAATAATGAGCTCTTTTGTACTTTGAATCTTCTATAGTGTTGCTGTGCCATGGATGATGCATTTTTCATTTGTACTTCTTTCTGCAAGGTAGATTGGTGCCTTGGCTTGTATATGGCTTTTTCATTTTACTGATTATAACCTACCAGATGCCTGACATTGAATTTTGAAGGAACCTTTGGCAGCTAATGGTAGTTGGCAATGCAATCACTGGTTTAGTTCTGTACCAAGCGTTTCCATGATTTTCATGCGCTTATCAACTGTTTTCCACTCATGCGACAACTTGTTATAAGAGCACTAGATATGTCAAACGAGGGCACCTTTGCAACAGCAATTCATTCATGAAAACACTTGTGCAATGACATCTGCAGAGAACATATTACTCTAATCACAGGATAACTTCCAGCCTTCCACTCTTCAACAGGCTGTGCTAACTGTTCTGTGCCCCACTTACCAATGTACTGCCATTCTGCATGTTGTGTAAGTCTCTATGGGCATGAGCACAGAAGTCCAAACATGCAGTGACCCCTGAGAATGGACGGCCTTCCTTCAGACCCAGTCGGCATTCTGGTGCTCTGTGTTCATATTCAATCTGAAAAACAGAAGCATGTGTGTGAATGGGGAACTACTTAGGCATTTGAAATTCTTAGGCATACATTTGAGAAAAAAGTATAAGACCCGTGCACTGAGCAGATCAGAAAGATTTTTTAGTATTTAGGTTATTCAGAATTAAAAAAAAAAAGTTATACATGTTATACCCAGAAATACAATGGAATAACAGAAAACAGACCAAACGTTTTGACATGGTAAAGTTTTTATTTTACAGTGTTGAAGTATAACTGACATACATTAAACAGTGTATATTTAAAGTGTACTATTTGATTAGTTTTGACATGAGTATATGTGAAACCATTGCCACAATCAAAATAATGTACCTATCCGTTACTCCCAAAAGTTTCTTCCTTCCCCTTTTAATTCATGTCTCTTCCTTTGTTCCCAGGAAACTACTGATCTGCTTTCTGTAACTACAGATTAGTTTACATTTTCTAGAATTTTATATAAATGGATCTGTTTTGAGTTAATTTTTATATATGGCATAAGATTAAGAGTCAAGGTTAGTTTTCTTCCATATGGCTATCCAACTGTTCAAACACTACTGCAAAAAAAATTATCCTTTGCCACTAAATTGTCTTTTTTTGAAAATCAACTGATTGTACATGCTGGACTTATTTCTGGACTTTCTATTCTGATTGTTTGGTATATAATAGTGTAGTGGGTATGTATGTGTATATATGCAGACATCACGGTCTTGATTACTCGTAAATATAGATTTTTAGTGAATCTTGAAATCATGGATTATAACTCTCCAAATTCTGATCTTCTTTTTGAAAATTGTTTGCCTATTCCAGATCCTTTGCATTTGTCTTTCTATATATTTACAAACACCCTGTCAATTCCTTCAAAACACTTGGTAACATTTTGATAGGTCATATACTAAGTCCATTGAATGACTTGGGGAAAACTGACATCTTAAAAATATTAGTCCTGTGATCCATAAACATAGTAGACCTTTCCATTTGGGGTCTTTTATAATTTCTCTCAGCAATGTATTATAGTTTTCAGTGCACGGGTCTTACATGTTTTGTCAAATGACAAATTCTTATGTCTAAGAATTTCATATTTTTTGATGTTATTTAATTGCTATTGGTTTTGACTGCAATTTTTAGTTATTACTAGTATATAGAAATACAGTTGATTTATTTTTGCAACTTTGCTGAACAATTTATTAGAAGTTTTTGGGTCTTTGGAACTTTTTATGTAGACAAGTGTCTACATTATAAGGACAATTTTATTTCTATTCAATCTGTACACTCCTTATTTCTTTTTTCTTGCCTATTTCCCTAAAACTTCCAGTTAGATATTAAATAAAAGTGGTAAAAATGGATGTCCTTGTCTTGTTTCTAATCTTAGGGGTAAAGCTTTCAGTCTTTCACTATTAAATATGAAGTTAGCTTTAGGTTTTTCAATTATGCACCTTATGAGGCTGAGAAAGTTCCCTTCTATGGATATTAAGTATTGCTAAGTGCTTTTTCCTCTATTGAGATAATCATATTTACCCCATTATGTTGGCTAATGTGGTGAATCACACTGATTAAAAAATTTTTAATGTTTACTTTTGAGAGAGACAGAGACAGAGTGGGGGAGGGGCAGAGAGAGAATGGGAGACACAGAATCTGAAGCAGGCTCCAGGCTCTGAGTTGTCAGCATGGAGTCTGACGCAGGGCTGGAACTCATAGACTGTGAGATCATGACCTGAGCCGAAGTCAGACACTTAACTGACTGAGCCACTTAGTCAATCAATCATGATTGATTTTTGAATGTTAAACAAAACATTACTGAAATAAACTCCATTTGGTCATGATATATCCTTTTTGTACAGTTGTCTAATTGACTAAAATTTTGTGAAGAATTTTCATATCAATATTAAGAATATTGGACTATAGTCTTCTTTTTCTTTTACCTTTGTCTAGTTCTAGTATCAGGATATTTCCAGCTTTGTAAAATGAGTTGGGAAGTTTATTCCTTTTCTATTTTCTAGAAGAGTTTCCATTGAATTGTTACTATTTCTTCCTTAAAATATGAGTCAGATTTGAAAGGGAAATTATCTGGGCCTGGAATTTTTGGAAAAGCTTTCAACTAAAAAATCAATATCTTTAATAAATATAGGATGACTTATGGTATTTATTTTTTTCTTTAGTCATCTTTGGTAATTTGCGTTTAAGTACTGATTTCATCTAAGTTGTTGAATTTATTGGCATAAAATTTTAATAATATTATTCCTTTAATGTCTGTAGTATCTATAGTGATGTCTCATCTCTAATTCTTGATATTGGCTTTTGGACCTTCTCTTTTTTTTCTTGATTGAATTGATTCAAAGTACTAGCTTTTGGTTTCACTGATTTATGCTCTTATTTTCTGTATTCCATTTCATTGATTTATGTTCTTTAGTTTTTCCTTCCTTCCGTCTTTTAGGGCTCATATTGCCGTCCTTTTCCAAGTTTCTTAGAGAAGCCACCTAGATCATTAATTTGAGACTTTATATATATTTTCTGAAGTTTATTTATTTTTATTTTACTTATTATTTTTTTAATGTTTATCTTTGAGAGAGAGACAGAGTGTAAGTGGGAGGGACAGAGAGAGAAGGAGACACAGGTTCTGAAGCAGGCTCTAGGTTCTGAGCTGTCAGCACAGAGCCCAACATGGGGCTTGAACTCATGAACCATGAGATCATGACCTGAGCCAATGTTGGATGCTTAACCAACTGAGCCATCCAGGTGTCCCAAAGTTTGTTCATTTTTGAGAGAGAGCACCCATGAGGACAGGGCCAGAGAGAGAGAGAGAGAGGAAGAGAGACAAACCCAAGCAGGCTCTGTGCTGACAGAGGAGAGCATAATGCCAGGCTCAATCTTGTGGAACGTGAGATATGACCTGAGCTGAAACCAAGGGTTGGATGCTTAACCAACTGAGCCCCCCAGGTGCCCCTATATTTTTCTAATAAGTATTCAATGCTATAAATGTCTCTCGAAGCAAGGCTTTATAGCTTCATTCCACAAATTTCAAGGTCATGTCTTCATATTCTTTTTGTTTTTAAATGTTTATTTTGAGAGACAGAGTGCATGTGTGCACATGCATGACTGAAGGAGGGGCAGAGAGAGACAATCTCAAGCAGGCTCATGGCTGTCAGTGCAGAGCTCAACATGGGACTTGATTTCATGAACCATGATATCATGACCTGAGCTGAAATCAAGAGTCAGATGCTTAACTGACTGAGTCACCCAGGCACCCCCAAGTCTTCATTTTTATTCAGTTTGAAATACTTTCTAATTTCCCTGTGAATTATTCTTTGGCTCCTAGGTTATTTAGGAATATGTTTCTCAGTTTCCAGATACTTAGAAATTTTGTGGAAATACCGGTAGGGATTTTTCATTTAACTTCATTGTGGCCAGAGAACATATTTTGAGGCTTTATAATATATTGATACTTGCTTTATGACTCACTATACAATCTATCATGATAAAACTTCCTGTACACTTGAAAATAATGTTAATTCTGTTGGGTGAGGAATTCTATACATGTCAATAAGGTCAAGTTGGTTAAAAGTGCTGTTTAAGTCTTCTGTCTCCTTAGTGATTTTGTATTTGTTCTAACAGTTATTGAGAGAGATGTACTGAAATCTCTGACTGTAATTGTAGATTCTTTTTATAGTTCTATCAGTTTTGTTTAATAAAATCTGAAGCTCTGTACATAGTTAGGATTATCATGTTTTCTTGATGAACTGCCCCCTTTTTTATTATTAAATGATCTTCTTTACAGTTTATAATATTCTTTGCTATGAAATCTACTATGTTATCAATATGATCATTCCAGCTTTCCTTAGATTGATATTAGCATATTTCTTGGTTCCTGGTTTTTTTCAATATTATAATTGTTCAATATCAGTGTGATTATTTAGTATCACAAACTCTGCCTTTTTAATTGGGAATGTTAAAAGCCATTCACATTTAATATGATTTTTGATATGGTTGGGATTAAATATACCAATTTTCTATTTGCTTTATATTTGTCTTATCTTTAATTTGGTTCCATAATCCTTTTAAATACATTTTGGATTGATTCTATTTTTTTCCTTTTTACTGGTAGATTAGCTGGTAGATTTTTTTACTGCTAGATTTTTTTTTTTTTTAAATGGCCGCTTCCCTTAAGGTTTACGATATATTCTTTATCTTCTTACACTCTACATTCAAGAAATACTATACTACTCTACATATAACATAAGACCCTTACAACAGTATACTTTCAATTCCCCAGTCTCTGTGTTACTTCTACATGTCATAAAGTTTAAGGCACATTGTTCATATATATTTTTAATAGCAAATTATCTTTAAATTTCTTTTGAAATAAGGAAAAAGTTTTTTTATTTACATAGCTACTATTTATGATGTTTTTCTTTCCTTTTTGTCAATACAGACTTCTATCTGGTATCATTTTCTTTTACTGGCAGGCTTCCTTTAATATTTTTAAAGTGTTAGTCTGCTGATGGTAAATTATTTCAGCATTTGTATGTTTGAAAAAAATTTTGTTTTGCCTTTACTTTTTTTTTTTAATGTTTATTTTTCAGAGAGAGAGATAGAATGAGAGAGGGGGAGGGGCAGAGAAAAGAGAGAGAACAGAATCCGAAGCAGGCTCCAGGCTCTGAGCTGTCAGCACAGAGCCCAACACTGGGCTTGAACTCAAGAACCGTGATATCATGACCTGAGCCAAAGTTGGACGTTTAACCGACTGCACCATCTAGGCACTCCCTTGCCTTTACTTTTGAAGTTTTTCCTGGGTATAGATTTCTGGGTTGACAAGAGTTTTTTTTTTCTTACATTTTTCTCTGATGTGAAGCTTAACTTCAACAATAAGACTTTATAAAATCAAGGAACAAAGCAGAGGAAGAGCATTTAGATATGAGAAATAAGTACAATATATCCAGTTGGGGAAGAGACAAAAATCAAATGGTAGGCTTTGATAGCATCCATAACCTCAAAAGGTCTTCCCATGTGCTGTGTGGAAAGACCACATGGCTGTTTTTTTGAGCTTTAAGCAATATTAAGACATACGGATGAGTATTACCCAATAGTACATACTAGGCAATATAAAAAATACCTTATCTATCTTTAACCATGATTGATTTAATTTATATATACAACTATTTTTTATATATGAATGTATGTATATATGTAAATTTTATTTTGTGGTAAGAATACATAACATGAGATCTACCTTTTCAACAAAATTTTAAGTGTCCATTATTGTTGGCAATAGGTACACATTGCAAAGCAGATCTCTAGAGCTCATTCGTCTTGCTTAACTGAAACTTTCTGCCCATTTATTAGTACATCTACACATGTATCGATATATAAATACTGAAACACATCTAAAGAATTATATGTAATCTTCTTGTTATAACCTAAATTTGGGGTACCTTCATATTTTGGATACTCTAAGTTCAGGAAATGCATAAAATGCTCCAAACATAATACAGTAGGGTGGAATATAAATGCTTAGAAAACCAGGTGTGTATGACACCGTCTATAGTAAGAATCAAAGGAGTAAAAAGAACACCAATGCTTTGTTATTCTGTCCCCTTTTCCAGCTAAAGCCATTAGGTTAATAGCACCTATAAAAATTTTTATTCAACAGAAAATGGCCAAACTTGAAATCCAGCAACATAGACTCAATTCGTTTTCTTTTTATAGCTTGATTTATTGTGTTTCTCACTTGGAATTATTTTATAACAGTACTAAAACATTCCATATACTTTTCTGTGATACTTACCAAAGTAGATAAGGTTGTAAAATAACAGTATTAATCCTACTACCATTAACAGCATTAAAAATAATCTTCATACACATCATATATATTTCTAAAAGCCTGAGTTGTGACATAAAACAAGTTTATAAACAGATCGTTATTAAATTTGCTTCCTTTGCTTACACTTAAAAAAAGAAAGAGCTGAGGTTTGGGGAAAGTATTAAAGTCCACAATAGAAACAAGAGTAGCTAAATCATTAAATGAGTATTGGTCTCCCCTGTGTGTCTCTGCTATATAAATTAATCCCATTAGTCTTTAACGTTATTAAATGACAACGTTTGCCAAATGTACCGCTCTTCATACTTCCTTGTACCCCCTGCCACTGTGTACTCTGCTCTGGATACCTGCATCACTTCCAGCTTTCCTCCATTTATCAGTCTCTCTCTTTCCCTTAAATCTTTAACCTCCCTTACTCTATTGTGCCTACTCCCAGCATTTGCTTCACTGCTTTCTAATCCCCCACTCCTAAAATGTCAGTGTACTCCAGAACCCATCAGAATCCCTTCTCTTTATAATCTCCACTCTGAAAACATGCATTCACATCTTGTGAATTCGACTACTTCTTGCATTTTGGTGACTCCCAAATCTACATAATTAGCCTGGATTTTTCTCAGGATTTTCCATCTAATTATACTAAAGGATGTCAAACATAGTATGCCCAAAATGAAATTTATCATTTCACCCGTTTGTCCGCAAACCTACTTTTCCTCACTGATTCCAAATACTAGTTAATAGAACAACCTGTCCAAGCCAGAAATTTGGTGGCTCCTCAAATTCTCTCTTCTGCTCATCCTCAAATCCAATTGGGAAGTTCTACAAGTTCTACCTCAAATTTCACATACTTATTTCCTTTATTCTTTCACTACTGCCATTTCTTTAATGTAGGACCTTAACATCTCTTGTCCAGTGACTGCACTAGCTTACTCCTCCAATTTAATCTTACACTAACCTAAGTTGTATTTCACTTAACTTGGCTTGTTCAGTGACCGTTTTAAATTAAATCACTTCACACTCTCCTGTCCCCAACACACACTTAAAACGCCCCAATGGTAGCCTTCTTACATACAGGATAAAGTTCAAAGTTCAAAGATCTTTATATGGTCTCCAAGGCCATTTGTGACCTTACATCTCTACTTTCAGGGAGAACTTCTTTGTTCCTTCAGAAATAAGCATACCTCTATCCCAGCTGTTAATGTATTATTCTGTAATGGTTATTTTACATATCTCTGCCTTAAAGGAGTTCCTTAAAGGAAGGAATTCCTTAAAGACAAAAACCTACAATACTCATCTTTACATCCACAGTGACTAAATACAGCATCTAGTTTATAACAGGTTTCCATTTAATGCTTCTGTTGTTGATGTCATAATGACAGGGAAGACTCTACAGTTTTTTTTCCTCCTTCATGAGCATTTCTGAACAAATGACCTAGCTTTCCAAACTGGTATAGCCTAGACCACACTCATAAAATAGGAAACAAGTGTTTCAGCTTGGTTCATGGAGCCAAGGCCAAATAAAATGAAGATAATCTAGCAAAATCAGACATATCTGGACACATGTATGTACACTTACAAAGTAGTACACTCATAATATGTATAGACCTTCTGTGAAAAGTTAATAGGTGGTTAGAACCTATGGTTTGGGTCACATAATTTTAATTAATCACCAAAGTCTACTTACAGAAGAGATACGAGACAAGATTACTGGATACAACAGCTTGTTAGATTCACAATCTTTCCACGTTAAAAGACCAACAATAAGCTCTTTTTGATGATATTTCTTTGAAAGTATGTAGGTCATCAATAATAAACTGTTCTAATCATTGTCCATAATTATTTATAAACTTACCTGATTATTATATGCATCAGGTGCAAGTTTCTTGTATGTTGGTGCCATAAGAGTAGACAGGTTTTGTAAATGAGACTCCAGTTTCTCTTCCTGTTTAAAATGCATAATTCTACATATTAAATTCTAAATCCTTTTTATATGTGAGAGAGGCTATCAGTAAAAAATTTCCCCCTATGTCTTAGATCCAAATGACAATATATAGTATCTTTCTTATTAAATAACTAAGGTTTCCTAACATGACTGTCTTTTTTTTACATATTTAAATTCAAGTTAGTTAACTTACAGTGTAGTATTGGTTTCAGGAGTAGAACCCAGTGATTCGTCACTTACATATAATACCCAGTGCTCATCCCAACAAGTGCCCTCCCTAATGTCCATCAGCCCTCCCCCCACCAACCTCCCCTCAGGCAATCCTCAGTTTGTTCTGTCTTTAAGTGTCTCTTATGGTGTGCCTCCCTCACTGTTTTAATCTTATTTTTCCTTCCCTTCCCCTATGTTCATCTGTTTTGTTTCTTAAATTCCACAAAATTTCCAAGCAAAAAGTATACACCATATATCATCTATTTTTGCATGTGTTTCCAAGCAAAAAGTATAAACCATCTAATTTTGTATGTGTTATTAGAATATCTAGCTCTTTGGTATTTTTATGATGTTAATTTTATACTTTGTATGTAGATACTCAGCATTTTATAAATATAAGCCTATGCCAGTAATAGGATAGGAGGATGAAGCCATAGAGTCTTAAAGAGGTCACGTTCTCTACTCCTCCAATTAGCTGCCAAGGAAGATGAACTATTGGAAAGATTTGTTTGGCTCTCTTTATATTTTTAAGTGCTTATATTAAAAAGTTCAAAATTTGAAAAGATCTTTCCATTGAACAAAAAATTACTAGATGCTTCAAATATGGATAAAACTCTCAGAAGTAGAGGTATATTTGAAGAACTTTGTAAGGTTTACTTGAAAGGAGGAATGTTCAGTTGCTCCTCCTCCCTACAAAGAACAGATTTTCCAGGTAATATGCTTATAAAATGGGAGGCGATGATACTCAGTTATTCCATTCATCCTTAGAGGTTCTCATTTCATAGTAATATTTCTCTAAGAATGTTGATGTAACTACCTGGCAGAGATATACTAATTTGTATTTTAGAAGGTGAGGAGGTTTCTAAGCCAGGCTCTCCTACCGCCCTGAGGGAAGATGTTCCTATCCATCCCCAGGATTTGCTTTATATTAAATATGGTGAAAGTGATAAACTTTTATAAAATATTGGTTAAAAAAAAAGCTCTCCAGTGTGGGAAATTAAAGTGGCTGATGACATGTAGCCCATTTAATAAAGTTTATTAAAAATATAATCCTGTGGGGGTGCTTGGGTGGCTTAGTCAATTAAGCTTTCGACTTCAGCTCAGGTCATGACTTCACAGTGTGAGTTTGAGCCCCACATCTGGCTCCTTGCTGGCAGTGCAGAGCCTGCATGGAATTCTCTCTCTCTCTCCCTCCCCCACTTGTGCGCACTCTCTCTCTCAAAATAAATAAACTTTATATATACATACACACACACACACACGTTTATATATATAATATATATAAAATCCTGTGAAGAAAATTACATCATGATTTCAAGAATTTTTGCACTTTATTAAATTTCCACTTACTATTATAGTCACAAATAATAAAGCAACAAAGTTTTCATTTAGAGGGACATATCAATACTATAGTATGCATAGTATAACTATAAATTTCAATTGCATTTAATCTTTGTAAGATAATTGTAAGGTTCAGAGAGTCAGTAAAAATTTGGTCATATCTAAATGTAAACATACTGAAGTTTTTGGATTATTCAATGAGCAAACTCTAGAAGCTACCCAAAAGTTGTTATATTTGAGACCCATGTGTAAGTTATTTTTGAGAAACATATAAATTCTTTAAAAAAATTTTTTTTAATGTTTGTTGATTTTTGAGAGAGAGACACAGAATGTGAGCAGGGGAGGGGCAGAGAGAGGGAGACACAGAATCCGAAACAGGCTCCAGGCTCCGAGCTGTCAGCACAGAGCACAATGCGGCGTTTGAAGTCACGAACCGTGACATCATGACCTGAACTGAAGTCGGATGCTTAACCGACTGAGCCATCTAGGTACCCCAAGAGAAATATATAATTTCAATTACATTTATGTTAAAATCTAAATATTTTTTAGTTTCTCTAGTGCATTCATTATGATAACTTTAAGCTATCAAATCTCAGGGTATGAAAATGTGATTAGAAATGATCTTTACTGAACGTGGCAGTGATGAATATGACTTTTTAAATTCAGGTTTGAAAGATGAAAGTTGTAACAATGAAATGTTAACATTTAGTTTTAATACCAAAGTGACAGTTATTTAAAACTCTAGAATTAACATGAAAGATAAGTATAGAAGACCATAGGTATTAAGAGTTTATTTTGCTCAAATTTTACTACTTTGGTATCACATGGTTGTTATTATGCTAACTTTATCAAATATTATAATGTGTATCTACAATTTAGCGTAAATTTTGATTTACCTCAGAGGTGAAATTCTCTATGTTAATGAGAATTTTAACTGAGTATGTCATACTGTTCACTTCATCTGTACTCATCAATTCTCCATGAAAAATACAGATTATATATCAGGAAGTACACAAACCTCTTTTGGGTCATCCCCAAGCAGCTTAAATTTTCTTGGGATCTTGCTTCTGGCAAACTTACATCCATTGTAGTACATACTCCATGAACAACCAAAAGAAAATGAGGCACCACAGGTCTCGGGGTCCAGCCCTTGACAGGCACAGGTTCTCCTGAGGGATCAAAGGACCAAGTTCATAGCTATCAATAACATTTATGTAGGCTACCAATCTTGTATTCTGGATGTCTGCATGCAAAAATGAATAAAAATTAGTTTTAAAAGAAGTTTAACTCTATTAATTAAGCCTGCCATAACCACATCAGAAAATAACTATTTTAATTGATTTTGAAACACAGTTTAAATGACTCTATTTTAACATATCACACAGAAAATTACACATAATTTTACAGCTTGCAAATGCTCACAAATAAAACCAAAGTAAAAGTAGCACCCAAAGTAAGAAACAAATATATACTGGCACTCCACAATCTCCTAATATGCCCAGTAAGCTGTAATAATAATTTCTATCAGAAGAGATTAGTTGTGCCAATTTCATTCTGTATACAGTGTACTGTATATATATATATATATATGGGGATGTATATGTATATGCAGTTTTGCATATTTTTATACTATAGTATGTATATGTATATATATGTATATATATATATATATATATATATATACACACACACACACACTTTTGCTTACTCATATATATACTATATAGCATATTTTTATTTTTATTTATAGAGAATACCATGTTTATTTTTATTTATAAATGTAGTATAAAAATGGGTAAAACTCTGTATATACACAGGTACACACATACACACAATTAGATAGTATAAGCTTATTTGTGTCTTGTTATTTTTGTTCAACATTATGTTTGAGATATCCATATCATTGCATATAGTTGTACTTTTTCATGTATTTATTCATGGAGTGCAATTTTCCATTGTATAAATATTTCACAACTTAACCATTCTACCATTGATAGGCATTTGAATACTTTCCAGTTTTTGGCTAAAATACAGTATTATGACTTTAGAGCCTAAGCCAGATATATCCTAAGAAACATAAGCAGACAAATTCAGCAAAGAAACCAAAACCAAAAAAACCAAAGAAATAAAAAATGATGAAACAACCTACTAGGAAAACTAGTATTCTATTATGATTATTGTTATTAGTATTTATTATTCAATTATTTTTTCCAGATTTTTTGAGGTATAATTGACAAATAGTTAAGATATTGAAAGTGTACAAAGTGATTTGATGTATGTGTGCATTGTGAAAGGATTTGCCCACTGAGTAGTTAATATATCTATTACCTCACATATTTAACTCCCCTTTTTTTGGTAAAGAACATTTAAGTTATATTCTTTTAGCAAATTCCAATTATACAATACAGTATTATCAACTATAGTCCCCATGGTACACATTAGATCCTTAGACCTGATTCATTTTATAACTGAAAGCCTGTACCCTTTTATCAACCTTTCCCTATTTTCCCTGTCCCCACAACCACTTTTCTACTCTGTTTCAGAGTTCTACTTTTTGGTTTGTTTCTTTTTGATTCCACACAGAAGTAACATCATGTAGTATTTGTCTTTCTCTGCTTGGCTTATTTCACTTAGCATAATGTCTTCCAGATTTATCCATCTTGTTACAAATGACAAGATTCCCTCCTTTTTTAAGACTGAATAATACCTTTCTCCTTCCCTCCCCTCCCTTCTCCTCTCCCCTCCCCCTCCTTCCCTCCTTTCGTGCCCCTCTCCTTCCCTTCCTTTCTTTCCCCTCTCCCTCTTTCTCCATACCAGATCATCTTTATCCACTCACCCATTGGTGGACTCTTAGGTTGTCTCTACACATTTTTTAGTGCAGATAATGCTGCAATGAACACTGAAGTGCATAAACTCTTTGAGATAATGATTTCATTTCCTTTGGATATATACTCAGAAGGGAGGTTGCTGGGTCATAATAGAAGTGGTAGTTCTATTGTTAATTTTTTGAAGAATCTCCATACTGTTTTCCATAGTGTACCAGTTTATGCTCTTGCTAACAGTATACAAGGATTCCTTTTCTCCACATTCTTGCTAGCATTCTTATCTTTTTGGTAATAAACATCCTAACAGGTGTCAGTTGATATCTCATAGTTTTTATTTGTATCTCCCCAATGATTAGTGATGTTGAGCACATTTTCATGTACCTGTTTGCCATTTGTACGCATTCTCAGTAAAAATGTCTATTCAGGTCCTTTGCCCAATTTAATTGGTTTGCTTTTTTGCTATTGAGTTGTATAGGTTCTTTGCATACTTGGATATTAACCTCTTTCTGGATGTCTGGTTTGAAAACATTTTCTCCCATTCCATAAACTGCTTCTTCATTTTGTTGATGGTTTCCTCTACTGTTCAGCTTTTTGGTTTGCTGTAGTCACTCTTACTTTGCTTTTGTTGCCTTTGCTGTTGTTGTTAAATGCAAAAAACCACTGTCAAGATCAATTCCAAGAAGTTTACCCCTATGTTTTTTTTTTTTCCCTGGGAGTTTTATAGTTTCAGGTCTTCTGTTCAAAACTTTAATCCATTTTGAGTTGATTTTTGTGTACAGTGTAGGAGAGGTCCAGTTTCATTCTTCTGGGTGTGATATCCACTTTCCCCAATAGCACTTATTGAAGAATGATCCTTCTCCCATTGTATAGTCTTGGTTTCATTAAAAAAATTAACTGACCATATTTTCATACATGTATTTGTTGGCTTTGAATTCAGTTCCATTGATTAAAGTGTTTGTTTTGATGCCAGTACCATACTGTTTAATTAATATAGCTCTGCAATATAGTTTGAAATCAGAAAGTATAATGGCTCCAGCTTTGTTTTTCATTCTCAAGACTGCTTTGACCGTTTGGGGTCATTTGTGATTCCCTATAAATTTAGGATTCGTTTTTCAATTACCATGAAAAATGCCATTGGAATTTTGATAGAGAATGCATTGATTCCACAGATTGTTTTGGGTACTATGGGGATTTTAACAATATTGATTCTTCCAATCCATGAACATAGGCTATCTTTTCATTTATTTGTCTTTTTTGATTTCTTTCATCAATCTTTTGGGGTTTTCAGTACACAGATTTTCATTTCCTTGCTTAAATTTATTCCTAGGTGTTTTATTCTTTTTGATGCTTGTGTAAATGTGATTGTTTCCTTAATTTCTCTTTCTGTTGTTCGTTGTTAGTATATAGAAACATAACTGATTTTTGTATATTGATGTATGCTACAACTTTACTGAATTTGTTTATTAGTTCTAACAGTTTTTTTGATGAGGTCTTTAGAATTTTCTATCTGTAATATAATGTCCTCTACATATAGTGATACTTTTACTTCATCCTTTATTTGGATGCCTTTTATTTTCTTGCCAGATTGTTCTGGCTAGTATTTCAAATAATTTATTGAATGAAAGTGGTGAGAGTAGGCATTTTTTTGTATTATTCCTGATCTTAGAGTAAAGTCTTTCAGCTTTTCATCATGGAGTATAATGTTAACTGTGGTTTCCTCATATGTGGTCTTTATTATGTTGAGGTACTTTCCTTCTATACTCAGTTTTTATTATGAAAGGATGTTGAACTTTTTTAAACATGTTTTCTGTGCTTCTTGAGATGATTATACAATTTTTATCCTTAATTTTGTTAATGTGGAATTGATTGGGTATGTTGAACCATTCTTGCATTTCTGGAGTAAATCCCACTTGATTATGGTATATGATCCTTTTAATGTACTATTGGACTTGGTTTGCTAATATTCTGTTGAGAGTTTTTGCATTTAACGTTTCATCAGGGATACTGGCAGATAATTTTCTGTTTTTGTAGTGTCCCTGTCTGGTTTTGGTATCAGTGTAATGTTGGCCTTGTAAAGTGAGTTTGTAAATAATTCCTTTTCTTCAACTTTCTGAAAGAGTTTGAGGACTGTGAATTCATCTTCAAATGTTTGGTAGAATTCACCATTGAGGCCATCTGATCCTGGACTTTTCTTTGTTGTGAGGTTTCTGATTACTGACTCAATATCCTTACTAGTAATTGGTCTGTTCAGATTTTCTTTTTCTTCATGATTCAGTTTTGGTAAGTTGTATGTGTTTAGGAAGTTAGCCATTTCCTCTAGGTTGTCCAACCTGTGGGTGTACAATTGTTCATAGTGTTCAGTTATAATCTTTTGTATTTGTGTGGTATCACCTGAAATGTCTTCTCTTTCATTTATAATTGTATTTCTTTGAGTCCTCCTTTTTCTTCGTAAGTGTAAAGGTTTATTATTTTGTTTATATTTTCAAAAAAGTAGCTCTTAGTTTCATTCATCTTTTCCATTGTCTTTTTAGTCTCTATTTCATTTATTTCCACTCTGACGCTTATTATTTCCTTCCTTCTGCTAACTTTGGGCTTAGTTTGTTCTTTATTAGTTTCCTTGAAGTGTAAAGTTAGGTCGTTTGAGATTAAAAAAAATTTTTTTAAATGCTTATTTGTGTGTGTGTGTGTGTGTGTGTGTGTGTGTGTGTGAGAGAGAGAGAGAGAGAGAGAGAGAGAGAGAGAGAGAGAGAGATCGTGAGTGGGGGAGGGGTAGAAAGAGACAGAAACAGAGTCCAAAGCAGGCTCCGGGCTCTGAGCTGTCAGTACAGAGCCCAATGCAGGGCTCAAACCCATGAACTGTGAGATCATGACCTGACCTGAAGTCGTATACTCAAACAACTGAGCCGCCCAGGCGCCCCTGAGATCTTTCTTTTTTAACGCTGATATTTATTACTATGAAGTTTCCTCTTAAAACTGCTTTTTCTGCAGTCCTAAATTTTAGTGTGTTTCAAGACATTTTTTAGCTGTTATTTCTTTAATAAGCTTTCTACTCCTCTCTCTTTTGTCTCAAGGACCCTTTTATATTGGTCCTCTTATGGTGTCTCATAAATTCCTTAAGCTATCTTCACTCTTTTGCATTCTTTTTGCTTGATGTAGTCTACTCCTGAACCCATCTAGTGAATTTTTCAGTTTAGTTATGTATTCTTCAGCTCTGTGACTTATGTTTGCTACTTTAAAATATTTTCTCTTTGTTAAAATTCTTGTTTTGTTTATGCAATTCTGTACTGGCTTCAGTGAAAATCAGTCTTAGTAGTATTTTGAATTTATGTATACTGTGACATAAG